CCCCCCCCCCCCCCCTCCCCCCTCCCTCGTGTTGAAACTTCTAGTTCTCATGTATTCGAGCTTGTTTACACTGATATTTGGGGCCCAACGCCTTTACTTTTTGTTAATGGTTTTCGCTACTTTTTTTTTTGTTTGTCGATGACTACACTCGTTATATTTGGTTATATCCTATGCGTGCCAAAACCGATGTGTATGCCATTTTTGATAAGTTTCGGTCACTTGTTGAACGCTCATTTAATCAAAAAAGTATCTCTATTCAGTCTGATTTAGGGGGAGAATATAAACGTCTACATAATACTTTTTCCTCCCTGGGTATTAATCACAGACAATCTTGTGCCTATACCCATGAGCAAAACGGTTGGGTAGAGCGTAGGCATCGTCACGTTGTGGAAACTAGTTTAGCCTTACTAGCTCAAGCCTTGGTTCCACAACGCTTTTGGGACTATACTTTTGATACTGTGGTTTATTTTATTAATAAAATGCCTACTCGTGTTCTGAACAATGTCAGTCCCCATTTTCGGCTGCATCGTTCTAATCCGTCTTACACTTTTTTGCGTGTTTTCGGGTATCTTTGTTATCCTTTGTTGTGTCCATACAATCTCAATAAACTACAGTTTCGGTCTTCTCCATATATTTTCCTTGGTTATCCGTCTTCCTTTCGTGGCTATCATTGCTTAGATCTTGTAACTAACAAAGTTTTCATTTGCCGTCATGTGCGGTTTGAATCTGTTTATTCGTTTGCATCTTCTGTGACTGTGCAGGCTTTAGGTTCGGCTCTGGTGGCTCATTGGGGCGTTGGCAGTGTGTGTGTACCGCCTATTGACTCTGGGTTGCACCAAGTGGCGGAGTTTCCTTCTGCTGCTGCCTCGTCCGTGTTTGAGTCGCGGACTGTTTCGGAGCTGGCTCCGATTGGTGGTCAGGAGGCTGAGCGGCTTGCCCGGTCTCGTCCAGCTAAGCGGGCTGCGAAGGTAGTCCAGCCGCGTTCACATGTCATGGCCACGCGTAGCCAAGGTCCGACACAGCATGTGGGAATAAATGATGTTATAATTACTTTAATCCCAAAGAAAGCAGTACCGCATACTATGGGAGATTTGAGACCAATAGCACTTTGTAATGTCACATATAAAATCCTCGCTAAATTGGTTTCTAACCGGTTGAAGGTTGTCCTGGAAAGTGTTGTGGCCGACTCACAAAGTGCATTCATTCCTGGACATTTAATCACTGATAATGTCCTTATAGTCTCGGAGGTCATTCATTATTTGAACCGCAAAAGAGAGGGGAAGAACGACTGGTGTGCCTTGAAATTGGACATAGCCAAAGCATACGATAAAATAGAGTGGTGCTTTCTCTAGGAGATTATGGAGCGGATGGGTTTTGATCAAAACTGGATTGATCTTACGATGTTATGTGTTTCTACTGTGCAGTACAAAGTGGCAATGAATGGTTCTCTCACTGATTTCATCATTCCGGCGAGAGGTTTGAGATAGGGAGATCCACTCTCTCCCTATCTGTTCACTTTGTGTGTCACACTTGAAATCAAAAGCAGTCCGAGATGGTCAAGCCTCTCCTTGTGTTGTTGCGTGAGGAGCACTAGGTATATCTCACATCTTCTTCGCAGATGACATCCTCTTATTTTTTAAATCATTATTGCATGAGGCAGAGGTGATTAAAGGTTGTTTGCAAGCCTATGAGAAGATGTGTGGAAAGACAGTGAATTTTACTAAATCGTGTATAGTGTTTAGTAGAAATGTGGAGGCTCAAAATAGACTTGCGGTTGCCACTGTTTTTGGTGTTAATCAGACAGACAATATAGGGAAGTATCTCGGTTTACCTTTAGGCATTGGTGGAAACAACAAAGAGGTCTTCTCGTTCATTGAAGCCAAAATGAAGCAACGCCTGGGAGGTTGGTGTAAGAAAATTATCTCCAAAGTAGGTAAGGAGGTATTGCTTAAGAGTGTTGCTCAATCATTTCCTACATACACTATGAGTCTCTCTTTCATTCCAGTAACCTTTTGTGAGCACATTAAACGTATGATGAACAAATACTGGTGGTTCTCGAAGCAGAATGGTGGGGAAGGTGTGAGATGGCTATCATGGAATCGCATGGCTACTGCTAAGTCTGTAGGTGGTCTGGGTTTTAAGAATATGCATAAATTCAACATTGCTCTTTTAGCGAAGCAGGGCTGGAGAATGTTAGCTAATCCTACGTGCATTGTTTCTCGTCTTTATTAAGCCCGATACTTTAATGGTAAATCCTTTCTCGAGGCTAATATTTGTCCTAACCATAGTTATTGCTAGCGATCACTCCTAGTAGCGTAGTTGGTTCTAAAGAGATGATGTTTTCTTAGAATTGGTAACGGGCGTACAATAAGTATTTGGCACCAACTGTGGCTCCTAGATAAAGATAATCCATATATTCAGACTCCGATTTCAATTGTTCATGGTGAGGCAAAGGTGGAGGCTTTGATTGATCCTGGTACTCTTGACTATGATGTTGACGTGGTACGGGAGATGTTTATTCCTAGGGATGTCGACTTAATTCTTTCTCTCCCTGTTTCGAGCGAGGTTGCAGACATGTGGTGTTAGCAAGGAGACATAAGGGGAATGTATTCAGTATGCAACAGATATCGTTTGTTGAATGAAAGAAATACGCAAATTACCAACCCCTTTTCGGCTTGGAAAGAATTATGGAGATTAAAAATACCTCCAAAGTTTATTAATTTTGCTTGGCGCTGTGCAAGAGAAATCTTACCTACTTTAGTCTCTTTGGCTAACAGAGGTATTGTTGTAGACGTTCAGTGCCCTCTCTGCCATTTGTGTCCTAAATCAATTAAGCATGTCTTCTTTGAGTGTCAAGAGATTGTTGGAGTTTGGGGGGTATTTTGGATCCTATGGCTATGCATGCAGGAGTTAGCTTTGAAGAATGGTTCTCTGACCTGTTTAAATAATATGATAATGTTAAGCTCATGAGATGTATTGCTTTATGTTGGGGTATATGGAAGCGGATGAATGATTGGGTATAGAATAGAAAACTTTGTTAGGTTGATGGCATTAAGAGTATGGATAATAATTGCATGGCTGAGTGGCAAGCGTCTATTATCCATGGAGTTTCTGGATATTTGCCCAATCGACCTTCTCGTACTCAGGCTGTGGCGTTCACTTTGGGCTTTCCTTCTTCGATACTGGTGGTGGAGGTTGATGCCTCTGTGCACATCAGGCTGTGGCGTTCACTTCGGGCTTTCCTTCTTCGATACTGGTGGTGGAGGTTGATGCCTCTGTTCACATGGTGCTTTTGCTGGGTTCTATGGTATTGTGGTATTAAATAGCAATGGGAGGTACGTGGCAGCTAGGTGCGGTCCAGTTCGGTGCTTAAATGATCCTTATCTAGCGGAGACTATAGCTGTTAAGGAAGCTCTCTCTTGGATTCTTAAACAAGGTTAGCATAATGTTCTGTTGCGATCGGATTGTCAAATGGTTTGCAAGTTCCTCAATGATGAATTATCGGACTATTCTTATGCGGGTTGCGTTTTAAAGCATTGTTGGTATCTAAAACGACACTTTGAATCAGTGTCTATTCAGTATGTTAATCGATCAGCGAATAAGATTGTTAGTCTCTAAAACGACACTTTGAATCAGTGCCTATTCAGTATGTTAATCGATCAGCGAATAAGCTTGGTTAAGCTCTAGCTAGAGTTGCAAATTCTCAGTCTGGTCACCTTAGTTGGCTTTTTACCATTCCTTCTTGTATTGAACATTTAATTTCTTAATTTTAATGAAATTTGTTTACATCTTAGTGGCGTTTGAAACACACCACCACATGAAACGAAAGAGACAAGGGAAGGAGGGCTTGTTGCATTGAAGCTCGATATGAGCAAAGCATATGATAGAGTAGAATGGGGGTTTTTAGAGGGGGTAATGCTATAGATGGGGTTCAGTGCAAGGTGGGTGGACTTGATCATGAAATATGTTACAACGGTGGAATACAGTGTTCTCCGGAAGGGGCAGCATAAGGCAGCATTAAATCGGGGAGGGGATTACGTCAGGGTGATCCCCTCTCCCCCAATTTATTTATTTTGGTGGCGGAAGGTTTGAGTGCTATGATTAGGAGACAGGAAGCGGTCGGGATGATTCATGGCATAGTGGTAGCTAGGGAGACACCGAGGGTGTCCCACTTGCTATTCATTGATGATTCGTTTGTGTTCTTTCGGGTCAATTTCCAGGAGGCGAAGGCTATCACGAACGTCCTGAAAGATTATGTTGCATCATTAGGTCAACTAATCAACTATGATAAGTTTTCTATATCTTTTAGCGAAAATGTAATAGCTTTAAATAGGGGGGTTGTGTGTGAGACTCTTCGTGTGGCTGAGGGGGGTAATACAGGGCGGTACCTAGGGCTACCATCGCTAGTAAGGAGGAATAAAAGGGAGGTGATGGGGTTTGTGAGGGAGAGGATGGGAAGTTATGGTGAAGACAATTTTACAAGTTTTGCCCACTTACACCATGAATGTTTTCATACTTCCATTGGAGCTCTGCCAGGAGTTAGAAACTATCATGAATAAATATTTCTGGGTAGAGAGTGGGGGGAGGGGGAGGGGGGGGGGGGGGGGGGGAAGACGGAAGGGAATTCGATGGATGAAGTGGAGTAGCTTATGTGTACCTACGCGGCTAGGAGGGCTGGGATTTAGATGTTTGCGAGAATTTAATCTGGCCATGTTGAGTAAACAGGGCTGGCGGTTGATGCAGTACCCGAACTCTTTGGCTGTTAAAGTACTAGAGGCTAAGTATTATCCAACAGAATCATTTTTGGAGGCGAAGCTAGGAAGCATCCCGTCTTTTGTTTGGAGGAGTATATGGTAGTCGCAGGAGGTTTTGCGACGGGAGAATTGCTGACGAGTGGGAGACGGGAGAGATATTAGGGTTTGGGGCGATGCATGGCTTCTAGACAGTAAGAACAAAAAAGTGACGACGATAATGCCTCCTAATTTGGTGGAGGCAAGGGTATGTGGGCTGATGACGACCACGGGGAAGGCATGGGATTTGGAGGTTGTTCGAGATGTTCTAATGAGAGGGTTGCGGAGATGGTGGCAAACTTGCCTCTATCGAAATATGATCGTAAAGATGCATTATTTTGGGTGGCGGAGAGTTGGGGAAAGTTTATGGTCAAAAGTTGTTATAGCGTTCTGGCTGGAGAGTATACCACGGACGAATGGTTGGGGTGGACTAAGATTTGGACTCTAAAGATACCCCCTAAAGTGAAAATGTTAATCTGGCAGACATGCAACGGATGCTTGCCCACGACTGATATCTTAAGAGGAAGGAGGGTGGACTATACGGCAACGTGTAGGCTATGTGACGCCGAGGCTGAATCAAGTCTCCATGTGTTCTTCAAATGTCTAATGACAAGGGCATGCTGGAGATGGATTGGTGTACGCTTAGAGGGAGTCAGCGTCGAATCAGTAAGTATGGGCTTTCAATTCCTTTTTTCGACCTTGAATATGAATTGGTTGGGCTTTGCTTTGACTCTATGCTGGAGTGCCTGGCAATGTCAAAACAAACCTTTGTGGAATGCGGAAGCTGTAAGTGTTGATAAGATTCTGTCGCTAGCTCAGAGTTTCTGGAATGGGTGGCGTAGGGTTCATGTGCATGATGAGGAGGGGGACTGTGAAATGGTGAATGCTAATGTTGAACGATGGAGGATGCCGGTGTTGGGAAGATGTAAGCTCAACGTTGATGCGGCTTTTGATCATGGAAGTGGGGACACTGGGTCTGGCTGGGTTTCAGCGATGGTGGCTCCTGCAACGGTGGCAAGAGATGCCACTTCGGTTGAATCATTGGGAATTCGGAAGGCCTTGAGTTGGCTGAAGGAATGGCAATTGACGGAGGTGGACGTTAAGATGGATGCGATTTATGCGAAGGTGGTTATTGATGCAGTGCAGGGAAACGCGGGAAACTCCTATTTTGATTTAATCATAGATTATATTAGAAATATTGTAGATTCAATACATGGTTTGCAATTTTGTTTTATTAAACGTTTAGCGAATCAGGTCGCCCACGTATTGGCTGGAAAATCTGATTCTCTTACCGATCGTCTTGTTTGGTTTAATGTTCCTCCTTTATTTCTTGTTAGTGTTTTGGAGCTTGATAATGAGGTTTAATTTTAATTTGTTTGGTGCAAAAAAATGAAATTTGTTTCCTTTCCAAAAAAAAAAAAAAATAAAAAATAAAATAAAATAAAACGCAAATAATCCAGCACTCTTGCCATTACTTAATAGTTACAATATTGTTTCATGCCCTCAATGCAGGCTACAACCAACCAACCAACCACCAATATAAAATATTTAAGTGCATAATAATTATTTTAATTAGACACAACAAATTAAATAATTATGGTAGATAGGGAAGACATGCATTCTTCACTTCTTTTGAGCTTCTTGAATCAGCTGGTTGCTGAAATCCCAAAGCTCTTTTCCCAAAGCTTCACTTCTGGCCAGCTTCGTTGGCTTGCACACGTTGCAATCAACGAAGTACTTTCCCGTGACGCCCTTAAGATCCGGATGAAGTGCCACATAACAAGTTGTAGCTGCCCCCTGCAAGATCATACCATAAATCCCTTAATTAATACTCCATAAATCTCATTTTATGTGTCTGATTCAGTTAATGAGGCTTGACTCAATTTTAATTCAATTTTTAATAATATTAAGTTTAGTATTAATATACAAAATTTATATATTTAGAAACTACACTAAAAGTACTATTAAACACAAAAAATCAAATTTAAAAATACATAAAAAATACTGAAAAAAATAAACAAAGAAAAAAAAATTAGTTAGACCAATAAATAGTACATAGGACAGATAAAATGGGACAGAAGAAGTATATATATTCATTCAGTCTCATTTTATATGTCTGATTCAAATAATGTAAATTGATTCAAATTATTTAAAAATCATTTCTTTTTCACAAAATTCGTAACTACTACTTAACGCTGTAACTCTTGTAAGAGTATGTATGAAGTAAACTCTACTCCGGTAGTATGAGAATCATCCTCCACTCACTTGAACACTTTTTTCGAAAAAAAATATGGATCGGAGTTATTTTCACATACCTAACTTGATTTAATTTTTGACCAACCTAACTTAATCGATCGAACTAATTTGAAAGAATTGAGAAAACAAATTTTACTTCATTAACTCATTCTCAACTCACTCGAGTCCCTCCATTCACTCATTTGTCATATGTGCACCGAAGTGACATTAAGACTAGTATGGACCACACCAGCAAGAACTAACAAAAATATATAATATAGAAATATATGAAATAATCTTTGCCAAATTCATGACTTCGATAATATCCATAAAACATCCTAAATAGTTTCATAATTTACCTGAGGTACATTCTTCCAAATCACTGAAGTGAAAACCCTCAAAATATCTGCAAATATAAAATAAAATAATAAATATAAAATAAAAAGATGTCATAACCGTGTACGTTGTAAAATTATACATTGTGCTTTACAACGTATACTTTCTTTATGTACATTTAGCAAAACATAGTGTTCAACTTTACAAAGAACGTGGTATTGCAATCAACTGCTTCGTAAAACTTTGTATATTAAATAATAAATATATAACTGCATTTAACGTTGTATAGATGATGTTACATACTCATAGTAATGGTAGAGTGTCTCATCAGATTTGTCATTATCACCCCTGGATGCACTGAATTAACAGTAATATTTGCTCCCTCTTCCTACAAATAAAAACAGATAATAAATATTACTAAAATAATTCAACTTTGTATGTATTTAAATGTGACACGTTTTTGTGAGACGACGAATGGACTATAATATATGTTACCTGTAAACGTCGAGAAAGCTCATTGGCATGTAATATATTGGCTAGCTTTGATTGCCCATATGCCATTTTGTCATCATAACTGATCCAAAGTGACAAAGTTGAGTACAAGGATAATACCCATGAAAAACAAAAAACACCTAATAGGACCTGACAGTCACAGTGTGAGAGTTTTACTCTCTTTTGAGGGAAACTCCTTGTAGGCACTAGACACTACTCTTCCTACATAAAGAGTTATTGATCTATTGTGATTTACTCATCTAAAATTCTGTCAGACTGGGATATAGGGCCCCGAGACGAGGGATTTTACTTTTTGTGGGTAAGGATAACATTTATGAAAAAAAAAAAAAAAGGCCTAATAATGGTCCTTGCAGGCGTAGCTTGGGAGTTTTACCCTTTTGTGATTGGCTCAATGTGGGCACCATAGAGGCATACACTGGTCATTTTACCTAATGGGTTACTGAACCATCGTAATTTATCCCTCCACAATTCTATAGGGTCTTAAAAGAAAAAACAAAAAACAAAAAACAAAAAGAAAAAACAGTGACAGATAGTATAATAAATACCTCTTCTTGTCATTAATCTTGTCAAATCTTATCCCTTTTCTGTAAGGATAACGGTGAGCAATTGATGACAGGTTCACAATCCTACCCTCAATGCCAGTGGCTTTTGCAGTTTCCTTCATTCTATCTAGGAGGAGATTTGTCAAGTAAAAATGACCTGAAAACAGACAACATTAACAACCAAACAGCTTTACAACAATGGTATCATACTATATATGTTGTGTTTATGTAGCTGTAAAAAGAGAATAATAATGCAGTGTTACACACCGAGATGGTTCGTCGCGAATTGCATCTCATATCCATCTTCCGAGAGCTGAAATGGACAGAACATGATTCCCGCATTGTTTCTGCAAATCCCAAATTCATTATGAGCAATCGAAGGCCTAATAATAAAACTCGGGAATGGAATATCATATTGTGGACATAGTTCTGGCTCTAATATTACTTTTTAAGATCAAACGTTTATCACTGCGCCAAAAATGATAGCTCATAGTGAAGGTGTAACTTTATTTCCTTATATACCTACTGCCACCACATTTTCAGAGATAGGGTGTTGGACTTGACCCTTCACCAGCCTCTGTCTAACAATTACTACTGGACTTGTCCCTTTACTTGTCTTTGCCCAATTGTCTTTTTATTGGGTAGTGAGAGTGCACGTTTATGACGAAGAGAAGAGATGTGTAGCTTACATTAGGATGTTGAGGGGGAGTCTAAGGGCTTTGAAATCATCAGCAAATGCCTTGATTGATCTGATTGAGTTGAGGTCAAGTTTCATGATATCAACTTTAGCTGTTCTGTTGTCTCTCAGGATAAGGTCTTTTGCGTCTTTTGCAGCGTCCGTGTTCCTCGCAGCTATGATCACGTGCACTTTCCTTTGGGCTAAAACTCTCACGGTTTCTAACCCAATGCCACTTGCACCACCTGCACCGCCAAAACCATAAGTCTATGTTACTCAACCACATCTTATTTAATTACTTCCCCACAATCTAGGGTGGTCGGTAAATGGTTAGACCCTGTAATGTTGGGTCGTTATCTTCGGGATTAAGGTAACGAGAGAAATTTACAGTCATTATCCGTCTTGTGATTCTTATCGGCACTACAAAGAGGTAAACCAGCATATGTTGTCTATAATTGACTGATTCCAACCAAGAAAATTGAGATTCGAACTCGTGATCTTGTGATACAAGCTAAGTTTGTATCTTTAGTCATCTTAACTGAGGTTGCCCCAGGTGACAAGATTTCCAGGAAGGAGTCATATTGGTGCTAGTAATTGCCTTCCATATTTGACCTTATTTGTCTATTTTCACATCCGTATGTGTGGGTCTCAAGTTTTTTCAAAGTTGGCAAACAAGGGATGACATTCCACCTAATTTACAGGGAAATATAGTACGTATATACATACTATGTCCTACTAAACCTCATTTCTTGTCTTTGTAGGATCATTAGTCAAATCTCAGTTTGCTAATATGTTAATTTTACTCACCATATATAAAGTTTTGTATATGTATATATACAGAAAGTTTGGAGATCCGGGTTACCCTTTACCACTAAAAAAGGAGAAAAAAAAAATTAGTAGCTTTTGAGTAGGTTAAACGAGTTAAGAAGAAAAATCAGATAATTTATCAACTCCTTCAAAGAAATTTGTTTACCAACTTTGGTTGGTTAAACGGGTTAAAAAGATGGACAGATATTAATTCATTTAAATTAACTGTGGCTTATATTAATTAAGGAATAAAAGAATTTGTTGAAACTGCAGAACTGCAGCTAGAAGTTTGAAGTAACAGTACAATAAGTTAGTTCAACATCCCAATATTGAATCATTCTTCACCTGTTCCCTTCTACCCTTTCCCCACAAACTTGGCCCCATCTACACCTTAATTTTGTTCACAAAATATTACGAGTACCTAAAATAGAGCTAAATACCTTAGGACTGTAGCTAAAATCAACACATACATTCTTTTTTGTTTCGGTATGCAACAATTACCTAAGTGTCCGTACTAGATAAACTCAGTTCCGACGTATATAAATCAGTCTAGGTTGCTTAGCTCATAGCTGATCGACTCAACCTAAAAAGGTTAATAGACCATTCCCACGGAGAGTTGAGCTTGAAACATATAATTACCAAGCTAATAGTCTGGCTAAGTTGGTTTTCACCCGCTCTAACAACATGTTAGAGTTGAGGCGGTTTGAAATATAAACCGTTTAAATTACGAATAAGAGCAAGATAGACATGAAGAAATAATGTGAAACTAACCAAGAAGAAAGGATTGAAGCTCAAACCTGTAACAATGGCAGTGAGGTTGGAAGCATGAATGCCCAGAGTGACTTGGTCAGCAGTGGAAGCTGAACCAAACCCACTTGGCCCTGGAATGCCTGTGATTGACCTAATCATCTTTCTTAGCTTTCTTTCTTTCTCTGATCTGATCTACAACTAGCAGACAAGCCAAAATGGTGTGTGCCTTGAAATAAGGGAAACTCAATTCTCTCTCAACTTCTTGTGCTGCTGGATGGACAAACCACATATATACAATCCCATATATATAGGAGCTAAGCTAGCTTGGAAGTGTTATGGGGTGGAGGGGTAGATTGGACATTATGGAAGCAGCCCAATTTGCCATATTGTGTGTGTAATTAATGATCCATTTTTAAATATTGTGTCCTAATCCGCCGCCACACTACAAGTGTCTACATGAACTCTAATACTAATTGGAAATTTTGAAAGTTACTGGCTCTGTTACATTGTAGTATGTACTCACATACTTTCTCAACCTACTGAGACACAAAGAACCAATAACGCCTCTACTAAGGCTTGAACTCATAATCTTTTAAATGGAAGTCCAACTCGGGTACCATTAGACCACATAGTCCTGGTAATTATTCATGATTAATTGTTTTGCTTTTCTACTATTAAATTTGGCAAAACATATCAACGTCTATCATTAGCATTGCGGACCCTAATTAAATTATGTACATATATGCAGTTAATATATTATGTACATGTTGCAATTAACATATAGTTAGCTTATCAACTAATTTTATCTTATTTAATTACTATTAATTGTTTGACTTGGTTAAACAATCAATATAAGTGTTTCATTAATTAGCTTTTCGTAACAGCTTATTGCTCTAAAATGCGAAAATTCAAAAAAATGTGTTATGCTTTGAGCAACTTTTTTGATAAGTTTTTTGAGAAAGTCATTTTGCATGTAATCAGCTATCAGCTAACAACTAATAATTTACCAAACATTTTTCTACCATCAGCTAATACTATCAACTAGTCAACACACTAACGCAATTAGCTAACAGCTATTTTGTACTTTCAATTTATTTACACATACATAATCTATCTATTAATTAGAGGTGCATAATATATTAATTGCAACAATTACATAATATATTAATTGCAACAGGTACATAATCTGGACCAGAATCCACCATGCGCGTGCACACATCATCAACTAATTGTAAGATTATGGCAGCTTTGGTTCTATAATGAACAAAAATGTAAATATTGTTTCTTTATAACTTAGTCATTTCACCCAAAAAAATAAATAAATAAACTAAAATAGTAAAATATTCATAAAAATATCTGAATCTTAACGCGGTATTACATTTATGTTCATGGACGGCCAAAGCTGCTTAAGTCCTGCAAAATTCTATATGATGTGACATTGGTTTAATAAAAATAAATTCATTTATTACTTGTGTATTAATTGATCCTCCCATTAGCCCATATAAGTAATATAAAGAATTTATGCAATAATAAAATAAAATAATATTTAATGAAATAATGACACATCAAGTAGTAGTAATTATTAGTGGGTGACTTATATTTAAGGGTGCTCAATATTATTGATGAAGTTTTACAATGTTAATTGTTTGACATAGTTTTACATAATTCATTCATGGTAGAATTAACAAATTCACAAGGAAAATTAAGCCACACCAACATCTATTGAAAATATTGTGCAAAAATTGCGCACATCTATACACCAGCACATTAATAAAAATTAAGTCACATCAACATCTGTTAAAATAGCTCGAAAGAAGTGACTGAGTGATGAAGCATAATTCTTGTATCTAAAAGTTATAGATTTGATTTTTTTCAACACTGTCTCAGTCAAGCTCGTTGCACAAGAGCGGGGTTTACCTAGTGGCCAATACACACCTCCATGGATGTCAATCTTAGCCCGAAATTAATGAGATGACTCAATATATAAAATAGGAAATTGTAAAAATTAGGGTCAAAAAATTTTCGTTTTGTAAAAATTCAGCACAATTAACACGAAACAAATAAACCTGACAATCCGACGGTTTAAGAATAGGAACAAAAGTTTTCAATCCGATAAGCTCGGAACTAATAAGTCCGACAAAATTAACTTAAAATTGATAAAGTTGATTAAATCGATTGACATCTCTACATTCAAAGGTATTGACTACGAGTTTCAAAGATACTGACTACGAGTTTCAATTATGTCGTCTGAATGTAAAAATATGTGTGCACAAATTGCGCGCACCTATCTATCATAGTCAATTCATTGTAAATTCATATAATTAAGTCACATCAACATATGCACCCATCTATCCATTATGGTAATGGTATATATAATACTGTTTAGGTTTACGTTTCTATCTTGGTTTCAAGTTTTTTTATTTAAAAAAATTGCGATTTTACGTGATGAGAATTTTCACAGAAAATCACATGTAAAGTGTAGTATGTGAGTCCATGTCAATTGTTATCACACATTCATACACAAGCTATACAGGATGTGAAATTTTTATTTTTTTTATTTTTAAAAAGAGGGGGTTGTTTGATTTTTAAAAATATGCAGGATGGTGCATTAAAGAAAAAAATATATATGTAGATATTTGTTATTGTACGAGTGTAGTACGATTTAACAAAAAAAAAAAAAAAAGAACATGTTACTATACTATTTTAATTAATAAATTGATTGTTGAGTTTTCAGAATCCTCATTTCTTAATTATTTGTTTTTTTTTTAATAACTCAAGTTTCTCGGTTGTCCTAGACTCTATCTTGGACCCATGAACGCGCTCCAAACTCATGAGAAAGTAAATAGAGTCAATTTTTTTTTTTTTTTAAATTTTGTTATGGGGGAGGGATCACCTAAAACAATCAGACATCCACATGTATCACCCTTTAGTCAAATTGACCAACAACATCGCCCTAAACAATTTGCAGGCAACCGGCTATGGTGTGATGTTCATCAACCCCCTAGCTTGGGTCATTGTTTATCTTGCTAACCAGTCAGCTACTTTATTTTGCTCACCATAAATGTGGTTAATCCTAACCTTCTAGTTCCTTTTCACAAGATCATTGCATACCCATAATAAGTCATTGCTCCTGTTCCTTTTTCTGTCTGTGTTCCGTAGCAATCTAGCTACCATGACTGAATCAAGCTCAAGGACTATTTTCCGATGTCCTCTCTCCCAAGCCATTTTAATTAAGATTACAACGAGAGTCAATCTAGTTTTAAAACTCAATATCAAATTATACATTTTTGTGTACAAATTATCTATTCCAAACTTGATCAAACCTTTAATATTATATTTGTCGCAAAGATCGAATCCCCACCCTGTCTCAATTATTTATTTTTCAAAACTAGACTTCTTGTTATATATATGTCAAAGTATTTACTCTTTGTTTTTCTCTCTCTCTCTTTCTTTCTTGTTAATTTAACTCTAGGTAGTGACTAGTAAATTTTGGTACGTAGTATGTGTAGATAACTTTACTAGCTACTTATCGAGAGATCTTAAGATTAATTCTTTTTGTTATTTGAAAGCAAAATGGACAATCAAATTGAGTTAAAGGAAAGAGACACGGGAAAAGATGACTACCTTACCGTATTTACAACGGTCAAGATTTTTGTCAGATTTTTTTATTTGTTAAATAGGAGAGAGAAAAAAAAAAAAAAAAAAAAAAAAAAAAAAAAAAAAAAAAAAAACTGTTTATGCTGCGAGTCCGCGACTGTCGGAGTTGGTAGACTTCAGATTTTGAACATTTTCACGACGTATGTTGTGTGATTATGTGAATCCACGTTACGTTAACCTTTTAATATATTTTATTTAGTATCATAAAAATCTCATTTTCACCTTACAAATAATACAAAAACTTGTATTCAACTATCTCGCACAGAAAATATAACATATGTTGATATGTAAAAAAAAAAAAAATCATATTTTTGTTAAAAAATTACATATTTAAAATTCATTTTCGACGGTTGATTTTGGCCATGTTTGGTAACATAGTTAGCTTTATCAACTAATTTTGGTTTATTTGACCACTATTAGCTGTTTGACTTGGTTAAATAATCAATATGAATGTTTGATTAATTAGTTTTTTGTAACAACTTATTGTTTAAAAAATACTAAAATTTTAAAAGCTGCTCAAAGTAGTTTTTTCGTTCAGCTTTTTGAGAAAGTCATATTGCATGTAATAAGCTATCAGCTAATTTACCAAATATTTTTCAACAATCATCTAATGCTATCAACATTCAAAAAAAAAAAAAAAAAAATCTAATGCTATCAACTAGTCAAACTCACTAATACAATCAGCTAACAATTATTTACCAAACACCCATAATAATCATAATGTAGAGTTCGACCCCCAGTGAGAGTGACATATTGACCTTTTTGTTTGAGCCGGTCTAATTATGGACAACTTAGACTGGTTTACTCCTTGTGATTCTTTGCTGGCTAGGGTTAAATAGTGACAATATATAGATTTTTCTCTCTTCCTCTCTCACCCCCCCCCCCCCCCCGCCCCCCCACCCTAAAAAAAAAAAAAGAGTCTTATTTAATTAAGATTAGCTTACAGTGCTAAAGTGGGGCTTTGATTCATGTCACGAACATTAAGGGCTCGTTTACTAACATGAAATTTTCTCCATTTTTTTTAGAAATTGGATAATAAAAAACAGAAAACATGTTTACTAGCACAATTTTTCATTTTGAAAACTGAAAATAATTTTACAACAGAGAAAACTGGAACACTCTTAAAAACTGTTTTCTAAATAGAAAACAGAATCATCTATCATCTATTTTGTTATATGTCACTATAACCACATTACTATGATTACATTCATTATCATCTTCTTTTACTTATCACCATATTCTATCATTTCTACTTACTTTACTTATTTACTTACATTTTAAAGTTAGACATTACTTAGGGTGTGTTTGGTTGGTGGATTTTGCACATAGGAATGGGTATGAAAGTGATTGTTGTTGTTTGGTTGATAGATTTTTAGAACAATACTATAGGTTTCGAATACCCCATCAATTGAAAAACCCATACCCAAATACAATAAGGGTTTCATTCCCTTATTCATTCTCAAGCACTACTATTAGTAACCATTCTCATTCCACCCTACTACCAAACATGTTAAATACTTTCACTAAAACCCATTACCATTACCAAGTATTTGATACCCATTCCGATTCCGATTCCTATGTGCGAACCAAACACACCCTTACATTGTCAAAATTAAGAATTAAACTCTATACAATGTTTTTTATTTTGATTAAACTCAATATATTATTACTTTGAATATTTTTAGTTATGTTATATCGTAATATAAGTTCGGTCCGGATATAGGATATTGAAATCGATCTCACATATATTAGAATTCAAATTAAAAATTATATATTCATATACATGCCATTCAAATGAATATATCCAAAAAATATTTTAAATATTAGCTCAAAAAATATTAATATTATCTAAACTAAATTTTAGGTGAACTTATTTTCAAAAAAAAAAAAAATTTTTAGGTGAACTTAGTAGGCTATTGGTTCGATATATTTTTTAGTTGTTATGTAAAAATCTTACATATATCAGACTTAAAAGAAATAAAATTAAATTTATTCTATTTAAACCAAAGATATGTACAAATATTTTAAATATAAGATCTAAAAATCAGTCAAAAATAAACTTGTGTTACTTTTATAACGTTAAATTAAAAAAAAATGGAAAAAAATAAGTGTTAATCAACAAGTTTCCTAAACAGAAAACAGATAATGAAAACTAAAAAATTAGAAAACAAAAAACGGCAATTTATATCCTACACTACGGCGCGCGTTGCACTATGCGCCCAGATGCAAAACGACGTCGTTTTAATTTTTTTTTTTTTTTTTGAAATTTCCCGCCCCAGTGAATGGCAGTAGTTTTTTCTTTAAAAAAAAAAAAAAAACCCCGCTGTTCAAGAATGTACATAATGTTATACTAGAATACACATAATGTTATACATGAATGTACATAATTATATAACAAAATATACATACTCTTTTTAAAAGATAATACGCATAATCTAACATAATATATAATAAACATAAACTTTTAACATAATACACATCAACTCTTAACATAATACACACAAATTTTCTGATTCGGATGTACATAATTGTATAAAAAGAATGTACATAATTGTATAAAAAATACACATAACTGTATGAACCAATACACATAACATTGTGAACAAATACACATAATCTCAGCAAGTTCCTACCGCGCCTCCCAACACTACCGCAAAACGACGTCGTTTTGGGAGGCGCGCGGCGCACAGTGCTATGTGCGTCGTGGTGTAGGATATAACGATTGATAAAAAACAGCTAACAGTTTTCTGTTAATAAACGGGCTCTAAGGATTTGTGTTTGGATTGAACTTTTTGTGAGCAGAAGTGTATATTTTTAATGGAGTAATGAGCGTGAAGCAAATTTATGAGAAAAAATCAAGGTTATCAAAAAAATAAATAATAGTCATACATATATACCGGGTCTTCTAAGGGGAAAGATGTAGTCCAAGTAGTCCATTCAAAGAATGGAAGACGACCGAGACGCCATTAGAATTGCCATTTCAACGGCATATATTATCAAAACCAAACACGACCATCTTTCTCCGTCCATTAATTCTATTGCCCAATCACATGGTGTACCACTACGTTAATTAATTAAACACGCCCTTTCTCAGTGCTGCAGGTCCATCAAATCATTTTTTGTTACCAATAATATTTTTTATTTTGTTATTTAATTTCTTTTTCTAATTTTATCTCTAATATTACATTACACTATCTATGAGGCTTTAAAAGTGGCTTGTGGTCCACTGGTATCAGATTGTTCCTTTATGTGGGAGGTCTAAGTTTCGAACCTCAATGTAAGCATAGATTGTATGGGTATTCCCCTTCCTTTGTAATAAAAAAAAAAAAAATCTATGAGGCTTTAAAAACATAAATTTTTTTGAAAAGAAATGCTATTTTAATCCCATATTTATGTAATTTTAATTTTGTTAGTCCATATCTTTTAGATGTGGTAAAACCGTAAAACCAAACTCTATTATTATTATTATTATTATTATTATTATTATTATTATTATTATTATTATTATTATTATTATTATTATTATTGCTGTTGTTGCTGTTGTTGCTGTTGTTGCTGTTGTTGTTGTTGTTGTTATTATTATTGTTGTTGTTGTTGTTGTTATTATTATTATTGTTGTTGTTGTTGTTGTTGTTATTATTATTATTATTATTATTGTTGTTGTTATTATTATTTTTATTATTATTTGTTATTGTTGTTATTGTTATTATTATTGTTGTTATTGTTGTTATTGTTGTTGTTATTATTGTTATTGTTGTTGTTATTGTTGTTGTTATTGTTGTTATTGTTGTTATTGTTGTTATTATTAGGGAAAATGACACTTTTTCTCCCTGAGTTATATACTTATAGCACTTTTTCCCCCTGAATTATTTAAGTGGCTCTTTTTCCCCCTGAAATGTTAAATGGACATATTTACCCTTAAAATAAATATTACATTTATTTTTCTTCTCCAACAAATTATTACTATAATTTGGTTCAAACCAAACAGATACTATAGCAACCAAACCAAAATATTCCAATTACAATTTATAATCAAAACGGGATATTTAGAGTTTATTAAAATCGCGAACCGGAATGGCCGGTTCATGTTCCGAACTGAAAAAATAAAATACAGTTATTGTTGAATTTAGACTATTTTAAAATAAAGACGGTTCAAAATCACGAACTGGATCCGGAACCGTCGGTTCAAGGTTCATGATCCAGTTTTTTTTATTCTTAAATTTAATAAATTAAAATCTAAATATTGGGTTCTAGATCTGAATCATAACCGAAAACTTTTAATTCGATTGCAATAGTGTCTGGTTCAGTTCGAACCAAACCGTGGTAATCGCTACATATACGCAATAATTTGTTGGAGAAGTAAAATAAATAAAATGTTTACTTTAAGGGTAGAAATGTCAATTTAATATATTAAGGGGAAAAACCACCAATTTTAAAATAATTGAGGGGACTAATATGCTTACATAAATAATTGAGGGGAGAAAAGTGCTATAAATATATAACTTAGGGGGAAAAAGTGCTATTTTCCCTTATTATTATTATTATTATTATTATTATTATTATTATTATTATTATTATTATTATTATTATTATTATTATTATTATTATTATCATTATTATTATTATCATTATTATTATTATTATTTTAAAAAAGAAGTTGTGATTTTCTTCTACGGAATAGTGAATCTCCGATCCATTGTAATTTGGCTCATAATCCATGTTTAATTATCATGTATTTTGTGATTTTCTTCTATTCAGCTACGGAATAATGAATCTCTGATCCATTGTAATTTGGCTCATAATCCATGTTTAATTATCATGTATTTTTTTGACAAAAGTTACATATGATTGTGTGTGTATTCTAATGGAGGTTTATAATTCCGTTGATCTATGGATGAAATTAATTTTTTACAAATAAGGTTAGAGGTGTATTCTTCTTTCAAATAGTCTACTGAACCATTGAGCTAAATACATGTGGATAGTTAGGGGTGTATTTTGCAACAATAAAAAGTTATTAGTTACAATAATTAAAGATTCATATTAAGCAAATAAAAATACATTTTTTCAACTATTTATTTTCATTGGTTTTCAATGAAAAAGTTGAGGTTAGTGTAATCTTTTTGAAAGCAAACCAACGAAGCATATATTAAAGCAAAGCAGAAATAGCGTCAGGAGAGAACGAGTTCCAATACATTTTTTTTTTTTTGAAAATAATGAACGGTGTAATCATTAGAAATAAGTCGCAATAGCGTCAGGAGGGAGCAGGTCCCAGTACATAGCATCAGACTGCTAGAAAGCTATAGAAGTTAATGTATGTGCTAATAAATTGTTTGATCAAGGAATAAAATTAACCGAATAGAAATCAAAATAGGATAAAATCTCTCTGCAACTACCAATAGCATAGTCGATCTATGACCGAACTGTCATAGGTGGTGAGGTCAGATAATGTTGTAGTGTTTGCCAATCCATGTATAGCTTTATATTCCTTTCGCCCCGTCCTCTTAGCCATGATAAAGCCTCCTTGCATGCAAATGCCTCAGCCATAAGTGGCGAGAAACAATCCGGTAGAGGAGCGCTGTAGGCTGAGATGTACCCTCCGTCGACGTCGAGTAGGATTGCCCCTACCGTGGCCTTGCCTGTTGCATGGTGGTATCCGGCGTCGAAACGGCAGACTCTCGGCAACTGACCAGTAGGCAATAAGGCGGGCGCAGCTGGCTGTCCGGGAGGAGGGTGCGACATCGCGGCAGTGGCGACAACACCGGTTGGCAGGCGTAAGACGGTTCCCAGCCGTGTATTGTTCCATGCTTGCATGGCCGCCGTGGCAGTAGCTAGCACTTTCGTTGGCCGCTGCAGACAAGCATCCCACACCGTGCCGTTTCGTGCTCTCCATATATGGTATAAAATTGCTGCTGCGTAGATAATGCCATTAGAATCCAAAACATTTAAGAGTTCACTAAACCAAATATGAAAAATATTTGTCACAATATTGGGGATTGGAAGGTTGGATCTATCCCAAATGGCTTTTGTAAAATCACACGACACTAAAGCATGTAAAGTATCTTCATGAAATATTCCACACATAGCACAAAATGGATTCACATCCACTATCTTTATAAGCAGGTTTTTAGTAGTAGGTAAGATATCACTAATAGCTCTCCATAGAAAGGTTTTCCACTTGGGGGAATTTTGAGTCTCCATAGGGCGAGCCAATTATCAAAAGCCCCATCATTATCATAATAATTTCCAACAATGAGCCTATATCCACTTTTGACAGAATAAATTCCTTTAGGATCCCTGTGCCAATACCAAGTGTCCTCATAGTCTGGGGAAAGATGTATTCTCAAAATGTTAGCCACATCAGTAGGTTGAAATAAATCAGTTAATGATCCCATGAGCCAGTCTCCTGATCTACCAACCCCACAATTCTGGCATTTGCGAGATGTGGCGGCATCTCAGTCTGTATCATAGGGTCCAGCTCATCCTGTATCCACGGATGAGCCCATATCATAGTAGTTCCCCATTGCTAATCCTGCGTCTTACACCACTACAGATCAAGTTTTTCGCTGCCATAATACTTCGCCAACAGAAACTTGGGTTATTCCCTAAACATGCATCATAAAAAGATCCCCTCGGATAGTATCTTGCCTTATAGACACGAGCCACCATAGAATAAGGTTTAGTAAGCATTCTCCATGCCTGTTTACCTAACATAGCTAGGTTAAAGGCACAGAGGTCCTTGAAACCCAGTCCCCATGTTTTTTTGGGATACATAATTTATCTCTTGCTTTCCAGTGTATCCCACGATTCATTCCAGATCCCACCAATATCGATTCATAGTGCGCTCAGTAGCCGTGCAAACAAATATAGGTAGCAAAAAAATACTCATTGAAAAGGTAGGCATTGATTGTGCCACACTTTTCAACAGGATTTTCTTACCAGCCTGTGATAGCAATTTTTTGTTCCAGGATCCAATTCTCTGGCGAATTTTATCCTCAATATACGAAGCCGCCTTCTTATTTCTTCCAACAAAAGAGGGGAGTCCCAAATATTTCCCAAAATTAGGTGCCTGAGTTACCCCCAACAGCTGCGCCACTTCATCCCTGCTCTCTTGGCCTGTGTTTTTACTATAACAAATACTAGACTTGTAGTAATTCACCACTTGCCCAGACAACTTCTCATACACAGACAAACAATTTTTAATATCGCCAGCCTCCTGAGCATTGGCTTTAAAGAATAAGAAACTATCATCTGCAAAAAATAAATGTGAGATAGGAGAAGCACCTCTGGCTACTCTGCAACCATGAATAGAGGCATTGTTCTACTCCAATTGTAACAACAAAGAAAGCCCTTCTGCACAGATTATAAACAGATATGGGGATAACGGATCACCCTGTCTCAGACCACGGGTTGGTATAAGTGGGTTACTGCGAGAGCCATTAACTAAAATATTATTAGATATAGTTGTGACACATAACATAATTAGCTCCACCCACCTATTATCAAAACCAAGAGCCACCATCATATTACGCAGAAAAGACCATTCCATGCGGTCATAGGCTTTAGCCATGTCCAACTTCAGGGCACTCCAGCCAACCGCCCCACACTATTTTCTGTTCAAAAAATGCCCAACATTCGCAGCTAATAGGATATTATCTGTTATCAATCTATCAGGTATAAAAGCACTCTGTGAATCAGATATAACTTTCTCTGTGAGAGATTTCATTCGGTTAGTTATCATCTTAGCCATAACCCTATAAACCACATTACTTAAGGCAATAGGTCTAAGATCAGTTACTACTTCTGGGGACTGCTTCTTTGGGATCAAAACATCATTAGTTCATTCAAATCAGGGGGGGGAAGGTACAAGAATTTAGAGCATCCACTACAAACTTCGAAACATCCATACCTACTACATCCCAGAAATGTTGATAAAAACCCAGATTCATCCCATCCGGAAACATTGAGAACAAAGCAGTTTTAACCTCATCTACCTCAAAAGCGCGAAACAGGGCATCATAGTGTGATTGCGTAACACGTGGGATTATATTATCAAAGAAATTAGCCCCACTCTCCGGGTGGTCAGTTTTGAAAATATTTCCAAAATAACTTAGGATAGCCTCAATCATAGCATCCCCATCAACTCAATCCCCATTATCATTCATAAGTTTAGAGAGAGTATTCTTTTTCTTACGGTGAGAGGCATACCTGTGGAAAAACTATGTATTTGCATCAGCCTCTCTAAGCCAGTGCTGTTTGGCTCTCTGCCTCCAATACACATCCTCCTGGGTTTCAAGGCGGCTCAGGTGCTCCTCAAGGCGTTGGAATTCAGCTAGGGAAGCCGGATCCGTGCGCTCTCTTAATAGTAATTGTTCCTTTCGTAAGTTCATAATCTGCTCACCGAACTTGTGAAAACGATCACCACCCCAACGCATCAACCGATCCCCACACAACCCAATGCAATTCTGCAGACCTCCTCCCCTTCCCTCATCCAAGGACTTCTCTACCACACTCCTACATCCCTCGACATGCAGCCAGGCCATCTCAAAGCGGAACCCCCTCTTCCTACCATTCCCCCTTCCCCGAGGATCCATAATCCCAAGGTAAAGAGCAGAATGATAAGAATTGCGGGTTAGAATATTTTGTACACTGGCCCCCACCACCACTCCCCGCCAAACTTTCGTGGCTAGCACTTTATCCAAACGCTCCTCCATCCAATCTGGTGTCTCATTTCCCTTCTCCCATGTGTAAGGATACTCTTGCATTGGCATTTGAGATAATCCACAGTCATCTTACATCCCCAAAATCGCGCAAGAGGTTCTCAAGATGTGGGTTTCCACCCCGTTTCTCATGCTGATACAGGAGATCATTAAAATCCCAAATAACAACCCAAGGGAGTTCTGATTGTTGAGCCAGTGATCTAATTAATTCCCAGGACTCACCTCTTCGTCCTCGCTGGGGAAAGCCATAAAAGCCTGTCATCCGCCACTTGATAAATCCAGGAATACTCACCTCAATGTCTACATGATTCTTCGAGAAACTCAGCAACCTAGCCGTATTATTCGTCTTCCACGGCAAGGCTAGACCACCACTCAAACCAGTACTGTCTACATAAAAAAGACCATCGAAACCAAGCTTGACACGGAGTCGTTCAGCATGAACCCGTCCCACCTTGGTTTCCATCAAAAACACAAACTTGGGCTTCTTACGGGACACCATGTCCACAATCTCGCGAACTGTACGTGGATAGCCCAAGCCACGACAGTTCCAACTGAGGGTACTCATTGTGTTGGGCAGGCCTGCGACACAGGACCTGCCGTAAACAAGTTTTTGGAAACATTGGCCATTGCAACATCACTTCCCTCACTCTCAGGTCGGCCCCTATTGCTAGGGGCAACCTCCCTCCACCTCTTCGAGGCTGCCACCACGGCCACCCTTGCTCCTTTCGTACCGGTCACCCCACCCTTCCCCCTTCGCAATCCCGGCTGCACCGATCCACCTTCCCCCTTCGGCTTACCTCTAACCGACACCAACCATGTCTCTCCCACATGCTGAAGGCCTCGGCTCCCACCAGCTCGGAGTGCGGCATTATACGGGAACTGGTCAACGAGTACCACTGATCCCCTAGCCTTCTGACAGAACTTGTACAAGTGCCCCAACATCCCGTAGAAAAAGCAAAACGTATGGAGCCTCTCGTACTTGAAATTAACCCAACATGTGGTCTTATCCCGCTTTAACATCTCCATCCTCCGTTTAAGTGGTCGTGTAACCGGTATGGCCACACGAATGCGGTAAAACGCAAGGCACTGTGCACCCGTGAATCAATCATCATGCTTAACAAATGTTCCAATGAAGTTGCCGATTTGCTCCCGGATAATCTCCGTTTTGTACCCTAGTGGCAAATCATGAATTTGTACCCAGATTTCCAGCATGTCGAGTTCGACTTTCATCGGCAAGACACCCTCGGTTAGTTGGCGGCATACTAGGGTGTGATTTTCAAAGGACCACGGCCCCTCATCCAGAACATAGTGGATGTTCGTTTCGTCGAAGAAGACAAACATGAAGCGGTTAGGTTGTATCTCAGTGATCTGGACTCCCCGCACCGGCTGCCAAACGGACGCTAGGATTTGTCGCATGTACTCCAATTTCACCGCTCTCCTTGTCAAAAACCATCCGACGATTACCCATGCCCTATCCGTCTCGTCAACAGCCTCATCAGCAGCCCCAGCATTTGGCTCAAACACCCCCTCCTCTTCGTCCAACGCCCAGTCTGCCCAATGGTCTGAGAGCTGCGCTACCTTCTCCTCCTCCCTCGTAGTTGCCATGTACGTCGTTGTAGTAAGCAGTCGTAGCAGCAACCTTTGGTGATCGGCAAAGATTGCCGGCGAAGTAGCAGAAGAAAAAGACCGGAAGCCCTAGGGGTACCTAGTAGAGAAAAACCCTAAAAATTGCTAGAGAGAGAAAATTTTCCGTGTACAATTGAATCTATAAATTAACTAATTTTGTGCAATTTGAGTTCCAATACATATAGTTTTCCTGAGAGAAAGCAGAAGAAGCTAAAGAGTGTGCAAGTAAATTAGCCGATCTCGACACTAAGCTAATGCATAAATGTGTAAAAGAAGGCAAAGCCTGACGACAGTCGTTGATTGCAATTCTGGCATATGACCGAATCTTGGTGATGGATGATAAAAAACTCCGGAGCTACGAGCAGTCGGTGAAGAGATTTACAGATAAAATATCCCGCTCCTTAAGCCAAGATAGCGTTTCCCGACAGGCGAGAGCCTCGGCCATGAGCGGCGAGAAGCACCAGGGGAGACGTCCGCAAACTGCAGCCAAAAATGCTCCGTCTGAAGTGAGCAAAACTGTTGTGAAAGAGGCATTCCCCCCAGTCCGGGCGATAACCGGCGTCGATGTAGCAGTGTGGAAGAGAGGCCGGTTGCTGCACAGGTGGACCAAGGGCTGTTGGCGACGCCGTCGAGCGGTGATGGACCTGCTGCCATTGTAGCAGCGCCGATGAAGCTTGTCGCCAAACTTTCATCGGGGATGGCAGGTTCCTTTCCCACACGACCAGATTCCGGGATCTCCAGAGATGGTAAACTGCCATAGCCACACCAACTTGTATTTGAGACACAGTGTTCATCAAGTTAGCAAACCACACAGGGAAAGTGCTACCAACTATATTAGCAACAGAAAAAGGTGCCTCATTCCAAACTAACTTGGCAAAGACACAAAGACAAGAGCATGCAAGGTATTTTCATGATCATTGGTACACATTGAGCATGTAAGGTCTACATCCACTCTTCGTATTAATAGATTATCCGTAGTAGGGAGGATATTATTAAGGGCTCTCCATAAAAAAGTCTTCCATTTGGGGGGGACGTTAGCTTTCCAGAGGGGGATCCATTTGTCAAAATTCCATGGGCTATCAACAAAATCACCAATAACGCTTCTGTATCCATGTTTCACCGTATAACAACCCTTTGGGTCTCCGTGCCAAAACCACGAATCCACGTAATCCAGGCTTATTGGGATCCTAGTAATACGCCCCACGTCATCTGGCCAAATATCATTTAAAATAGCATGGTCCCATGAGCCAGTATCCTGATCAATTAAACCTGAGACCCTAGCTCCTTGTAACTCAGGGGGCATAATAGAATGAACCATGGGGTTTGTCTCATATGGCAACCGTGGGTGACCCCAAATCAAAGTGTCTTCCCCATTACCAATTCTGCGTCTTACTCCACTGCAAATTAGCTCATGTGCAGCCATAATGCTATGCCAGCAAAAACTTGGAGAGTTCCCTAAAGTGGCATTGGTAAAAGAGGTGGTGGGAGCGAATTGGGGTAAGTGAGGAAATGCCGTGCCTGCTTCCCCAACATAGCTATATTAAATACCCGGAGATCCTTGAAACCCAATCCTCCAAACTTCTTAGGAGCACATATGCGATCCCATGCTCTCCAATGGATAGCACCATCACCACCTGATCCTCACCAATAACGGTTCATAACTCTCTCAATAGATAAACAAACTGAGTCAGGGGGTAAGAAAACACACATAGAAAAGGTTGGCATAGATTGAGCCACACTTTTCAAGAGAACCTCCTTACCAGCCTGAGACAGAAGCTTCTTATTCCACGAGCCAATCATCTGTTTAATTTTGTCTTCAATATAAGAGAACACTGCACGTTTATTCCTCCCCACAAAAGATGGCAGCCCCAAATATCTTCCAAAATTATCAGCCTGTTCCACGCCCAAAACCTGTGCAACCACCTCCCTATCAGCTACAGATGTGTTCCTGCTGAAGCACACACTAGACTTATGATAATTGACAGCCTGACCAGAGAGAGCTTCGTATACATTATGGCAGTGTTTAATAACCCCAGCTTCCTGGGCAGTTGCTTTTAAAAAACAGCAGGCTGTCATCTACAAAAAAATAAGTGTGAAATAGTGGGGGCTCCTCTAGCCACCCTACAGCCATGTATAGCACCACCAAGCTGAGCATTTTGAAGCAGCAAAGACAACCCCTCAGCACAAAAAATAAATAGATAAGGAGAGAGAGGATCCCCTTGCCTGAGACCACGAGAGGGGATGACTTGACCACTGTTCACCCCGTTAATGAGGAAGTTATACGAGACTGTGGTAACACACAACATAATCAAATCCACCCAACGATCTGCAAAGCCAGAGCCACCAGCATTTTCCGGAGAAAAGGCCATTCCATACGATCATAGGCTTTGGCCATATCAAGCTTTAGGGCCCCCCAACCTGCCACCCCACATTGCTTCCTGTTCAGGTAATGTCCTACTTCGGCAGCCACAAGAATATTATCAGTAATCAACCTTCCCTGGACAAAAGCACTCTGGGACTTAGAGATTAAATCCCCTAGAAAAGGCTTCATACGATTCGCAATCATTTTGGCCATGATCTTATAAATAACATTGCAAAGGGCTATTGACCTCAAATTAGAAACAGAGTCAGACACACGTTTTTAGGGATAAGGACAACATTTGTATCATTAAGGCCCTCAGGAAAAGAACACGTATTCAGGCACAAAAGCAGCCACATCTCCCCATACTATATCCCAGGAATGCTGATAGAAAACCCAATTCATACCATCCGGGCCAAGCGCTTTATCAGGGAACATGGAAAATAGAGTAGTTCTAACTTCCTCAACAACAAAAGGGCGCAAGAGGGTATCATTATTTGCTTGCGAAACCCGCAAGGGCACAGAATCAAAGAAAACATCATCGCAGGCAGCATTATTAGAGCTAAAGATATCATGAAAGTAACTCAGAACAATAGATTTCATGGCATCCCCATCCACCCAATCACCAGAAACATTCATAAGCTTAGAGATGGTATTTTTCTTTTTGCGAGCAGAGGCATACCTGTGATAGAACTTTGTGATGGCGTCAGCACCCTTCAACCAGTGTTGCTTAGCCCGCTGTCTCGAGAAAACATCCTCCTGAGCCTCTAGTAGAGACAACTGCGTCTCAAGCCGCTGAAACTCAGCAAGAGACGCTGCATCTCTTCGGTCACGGAGCAGAAGCTGCTCATTACGGAGACGTTTAATTCTATGCCCAGAAAAATGCCCCCCCCCCCCCCCCCCCCCCGTCGTGCCGGAGCCGGTCACCGCAAAGAGACATACAATCCAATAAGCCCCCAGCCCTGCCCGCCTGTCATGCAGACTCAACCACATCCTTACAACCATCATCCAGCAGCCAAGCCATCTCAAATCTGAAACCCCTCCCCTACCTCCTCCCCTTCCACTTTCAGCCACAATACTCAGAAAAATAGCCGAATGATCTGACGAACGTGTCAAAATATTTTCAACATACGCGTCAGGGCGGGTCGTATTCCACTGAGTAGTCGCCAAAACCTTGTCTAACCTCTCCTCCATCCAACCAGCGGTCCCCTTTCCCTATTCCCAAGTGAACGTATAGCCCTTCATTGGTAGTTGGACTAGTCCACAATCATCCATGGCATCCCCAAAACCGCGAAGGAGACTGGTAGGATGTGGGTTACCGCCACGTTTCTCATGCTGGAACAAGAGATCATTAAAATCTCCTAAAACAACCTAGGGAAGCGATGATTTATTAGCCAACGATCTCAGAAGATCCCAGGAATCCTTCCTCCTACTACGCTCCGGGAAACCATAAAAACACGTCATATGCTAAGCTTCTAAGCCCGGAATACTTACTTCCAAGTCAACATGATTCT